TAGGCGGAGGAGAGAGAGAGAGAGAGAGAGAGAGAGAGAGAGCCATGATAATAATTTCACTGATTAAAAGAAGAAGAAGAAGAAGGATGGGCGGAGTTTGAGGTGATATAAGAGTTGTTAGGAAAGGTTGAAACGAGATGGAGTCTTGGCAGGAGTTGATGATGACGATGGGAGAGAGAGAGAGAGAGAGAGAGAGAATGTGTGTGTGTGTGTGTGTGTGTGTGTGTGTGTGTGTGTGTGTGAGAATATGTGTGTGTGTGTGTGTGTGTGTGTGTGTGTGTGTGTGTGTGTGTGGAGAATGTGTGTGTGTGTGTGTGTGTGTGTGTGTGAGAATGTGTGTGTGTGTGTGTGTGTGTGGTGTGAGAATGTGTGTGTGTGTGTGTGTGTGTGTGTGTGTGTGTGTGTGTGTGAGAATGTGTGTGTGTGAGAATGTGTGTGTGTGTGAGAATGTGTGTGTGTGTGTGTGTGTGTGTGTGTGTGTGTGTGTGAATGTGTGTGTGTGTGTGTGTGTGTGAGAATGTGTGTGTGTGTGTGTGTGTGTGTGTGAGAATGTGTGTGTGTGTGTGTGTGTGTGTGTGTGTGTGTGTGTGTGAATGTGTGTGTGTGTGCGTGTGTGTGTGTGAGAATGTGTGTGTGTGTGTGTGTGAGGGTTCTATTGTATCGGGTATTGGCAAGCAATAATAATTTCGAGAGGCGAGGAGAGTGATGATGGAAAAAAGTAGATATAAGAGAGGAAGGGGAGGGAAGAAGGAGAGGAGGAGGAGAGGAGAAGAAAGGAGGAACAGAATGCAGAAGAAGAAGAAAGGAGGAGAATAAAGAAGAAAGAAAATAGAGAAAAGGAAGAGAAAAAAGAAAGAAAGAAAGAAAGAAAGGTGTAGGAGGGAGAGAGAAGGAGAGTGAGTGGGTCGTGTGATAAAGGTGAAGAGAAATGGGGAGTTAACGTATGAGAAAGAGGGAAGAAGAAGAAGAAGAGGGAAGGAGAAGGAGAAGGAGAAGAATTGGTGCGTTGTATGGCAATGGTGAGAAGAAAGAGTGTGTGGGAGGGAAAAGTGCAAGAGGATGTGTGTTTGTGTGTGTGAGAGAGAGAGAGAGAGGGAGAGAGAGAGAGAGAGAGAATGTGTGATGTAAGGAGGAAGAGAATGGTATGATAGATGGAGAAGCAATAGGCAAAAGAGGAAGAGAAGTAGGATAAGGAGAGAAGTAGGAGAAGGAGAGAAGTAGGCAGCGTAGCGTATAGTGTTGGTGGGGAGGTGGGGGAGGAGGAAGAGGTGGAGGAGGAGGAAGAGGTTGGGGAGGAGGAGAAGGTGGGGAAGGAGGAAGAGATGCAGAAGGAGGAGGAGAGAGGGAGGAGGGCAGTATCTCGCTGAGTAGGCAGCACCAATAATTGTAATGGTTGTAGCACAGTCCCTCACTTTTTCACCTCGTAGAGAGAGAGAGAGAGAGAGAGAGAGAGAGAGCCCAATTTTTTCTGTGTATGGATGTCTCTGAAAACAATTCCTCTCTCTCTCTCTCTCTCTCTCTCTCTCTCTCTCACACACACATCAACACCCAGCTCAGGTATTTATAAAACTATCTACCTGTCTATTACATCAGCCATGCGAGTGTTTCCAGGTACACCCAACACCTCTCCCGCCAAGTGTTGTTGTCTTGCGGCTGATAATGTAGACTGACAGGTGAACTACAGGTAGACCGACCCTCCCTGATGAGGCTGCCTGCCAGTGTGTAAAGGTGCACTCACCACCTCCCACCACCCGCCCACTAACTCCACTATGATTATGATAAAGGAAACCGATGCTAACTTGATCTGTGTTAACTTTATTTAAACTAATCAATATTAACTTGAGCTAACCTTATTTTTCACCTAATGTATCGAAATAAACTAATCTAACTTCATCCATTGCCATATAACCTAACCTAACCTAACCTAACCGAATTGAAAAACTCTCGTTGTGTCGTAGCTAAAGTGAGACAGTTAGATACGTACTCCGATCAGCAGTTAGTTGACACCTGGAGAACGCGTCCTTATCTCTGTTGCTGTAGGTGAATCATGATACAGTCTTGTCAACTTTACCCTACCTTTCCTCCCCTCCCCCCCCCCTCCCCATTTCTCTCCCCTTCCAACACTCTCACTCCCACCTCCTCACCTTCCTCCCCACCTATCCACCCCACCACTCCTACCTACCTCCCCACCTACACCACACTCCCACCTCCTCACCTTCCTCCCCACCTATCCACCCCACCACTCCTACCTACCTCCCCACCTACACCTCACTCCCACCTCCTCACCTTCCTCCCCACCTATCCACCCCACCACTCCTACCTACCTCCCCACCGACACTCACTCCCATGATCCTCACTTCCTCACCTCTAATCTCTTGACCCTTCCCCACGCCCCACCTTCCCACCTCCCCACTCCTCCCTACCTGAGCTTTTCATTAAAAATTGTCTTTGATAACGGGAGGAGGGAGGCGGGAGGAAGCTGGCGGGAGGAAGGTTCTACAGCAATAAAACTCTTCCTGCCTTCACCTGCTTCCTACAAATATTTTTTTATTTATTTTTTTATTTTTTTTTGTCGAGTTGAAAAGATCACCTGGAGATTGGTCGACGAATTTTTTTTAATGTGTAGCTGCAGGCAAGTGTTTGTTTGTTTGTTTGTTTATTAGTTTGTTTGTTTCTTTGTTTCGTTGTTTGTTTGTTTGTGTGATGGAAGTTTATAAATTTATTGTCTGTGTATTAGATTTTTTTTGGTTTTTATTTTTAACTTTTTGTTTGTTTTTTGTTTGAGTTTTTTGTGAGAATGTGTTTGTGTGAGAGAGAGAGAGAGAGAGAGAGAGAGAGATTATATAACATTTAAAAACTTACTTTACTGATGTGATGTGATAAATCTACATAACTTGGCGGATGTTTATGTAAGTGGCATCATTTTTGGCGACGTTATTAAATGTTTCTTTCCTTGATGGAAACAAAGACCAAAACATGTCATGAATGTTGCTGCCAATAATGGATATAACAATGCTGTTGGACAGTGATGCCGTGTACTGCACCTGTTAATGGGTAAAACAATCGACGTTTTGCTCAACCCTGTAAGAAACAATGGGTCTTGTACACGACCCGGTAAGTGACGTAGATGGAATCGGTGAGCCTACCTGTGCTGTATCTTTATGCAAACCTGTAACTTGTATATCTATACCATGATTTTATCAAGGGTTTATTTCACGGATGACCATAAGTGGCACCGATCATGCTCTTAATATTGTTTTTAAATCGGCAAGTACACTCTGGTAGTCGGGGCAGTACTTGTCGTCGACAATTCGTCTTTTTCTGTCAGCGACAAAAATCATTATGATTTTCTTCACCGTTTTGTCGGCTATTATAGAATCAGTACAAACCTCCACCAAGTGGAGGAAGGAGTACAGGTCGGTGGTGGGGTGCATGGTCCTCCCCGGAATATGAGGGGGCATATCCAGGGACAAACCTCCTCATCCTCGGGGCTCAGGGACAAATAACCGCCAGAGATAGCGCTTAGCCCAAGGTCAATTATATTTATTTTATTTTCATTGTCCAACTCCTCTACTATGATGTTGTCGCATTTAAAATCATTATGGATAATTTGTTCTTCATTAAGATTCTCAAGTTGGTAAGCGACCGCGGAGAGAAGGTAATAAAATGCCCTGGTATTCGGTGGGTGTTGTACAATATACTCGCGGAGGTTTTAGTACCCGACGAAGGACATCACGAGAAAGAGCGGCTGGAGTACCGCCTGCACCGCCAGCTATCATGTGTGTCATTGCCTCATTTTCATATGGTACTGGTGTTGTAGTAAACATATGGTACTGGTGTTGTAATAAACATATGGTACTGGTGTTGTAGTAAACATATGGTACTGGTGTTGCAGTAAACATATGGTACTGGTGTTGTAGTAAACATATGGTACTGGTGATGTAGTGAACATATGGCAGTTGTGTTGTAGTGAACATATGGTACTGGTGTTGTAGTAAACATATGGTACTGGTGTTGTAGTGAACATATGGTACTGGTGTTGTAGTGAACATATGGCACTGGTGTTGTAGTGAACATATGGTACTTATGTTGTAGTAAATATATGGTACTCGTGTTGTAGTAAAGATATGGTTCTGGTGTTGTAGTAAACATATGGTACTGGTGTTGTAGTAAACATATGGTACTGGTGTTGTAGTAAACATATGGTACTGGTGTTGTAGTAAACTTATGTTACTGGTGATGTAATTAAACATATGTCAAGTCGAACAACATTGAGCGGTTTTTACATTACGTGCATAAATAACCGGCTGGTAAATGATTCCAATGACCCATGAATCAGTCCTAACTGGCGGTGCCATTATCTACATATTATTTATCTAACTATCTAACATACTTGAACCATTGCAAGTGTGAAGCAAAGTATCCAATTACCACATATGAGCAATCTATTAAGTATTTCAAGAATTACCTACTACCTGGAGAGAGAGTTGCATCATACTTCGACAACTGGATAAGACTAAACATCTGCAGGATGTTTTAGTCCCCTGAGCAACCTTTACCCTCTTCAGGTCATTGAATAATTAATGTTCATAATTATACATCCATAGTTATAAGTTATTAATTACTTACTCTACATTAAACAGTATGTAAATTATACTGGTTACATGTGTGTGTGTGGGGGGGGGGATGTGTAGATAGATAAATAGATAGAACGAAATACTGCATATATATCTATATATATACATATATATATATATATATATATATATATATATATATATATATATATATATATATATATATATATATATATATATATATATATATATATATATATATATATATATATATATATATATATCTATATTTATATATAAAAGAGAAAAATATTAACCATTCTATCACATCGGGGGGTTACCGAATAACCATTGGAGGATTAAATCTTCAATGTAGCGTTTGGCCTCCTCTACCCGCTATATGTCTGTACTGGTGATACTGACATGGTTTTTATTGGTGTTGAGTCCCAGCAACACTCCGTATTTTTGGCCTATTTGTTTAATATGGGCGCCCTTGTGACCTATGAATGCTCCGTGAAATTTTTTGGGTATTTTAACGCTCTTCGTGATTTGATTTTGGCTGGACTGCTGTTTCGCGACGGCTGGTGATTCCCGTTCCACTGTGGCTGGTGACCCAGGTTCCGCTGCGGCTGGTGACTCCGGTTCCGTTATGGCTAGGGAGTAAGCAAGTGACCATTGGAGGATTAAGTCTTCAATGTAGCGTTTGGCCTCCTCTACCCGCTATATGTCTGTACTGGTGATACTGATATTATTTTTATAGGTGTTGAGTTTCAGCAACACTCCGTATTTTTGGCCTATTTGTTTAATATGGGCGCCCTTGTGACCTATGAATGCTCCGTGAAATTTTTTGGGTATTTTAACGCTCTTCGTGATTTGATTTTGGCTGGACTGCTGTTTCGCGACGGCTGGTGATTCCCGTTCTGCTGTGGCTGGTGACCCAGGTTCCGCTGCGGCTGGTGACTCCGGTTCCGCTGTGGCTAGGGAGTAAGCGAGTGACCATTGGAGGATTAAGTCTTCAATGTAGCGTTTGGCCTCCTCTACCCGCTATATGTCTGTACTGGTGATACTGATATTATTTTTATAGGTGTTGAGTTTCAGCAACACTCCGTATTTTTGGCCTATTTGTTTAATATGGGCGCCCTTGTGACCAATGAATGTGCCGTGAAATTTTTTGGGAATTTTAACGCTCCTCGTGATTTGATTTTGGCTGGACTGCTGTTTCGCTACGGCTGGTGATTCCGGTTCCACTGTGGTTGGTGATTCCAGTTCCGCTGCGGCTGGTGATTTCGGTTCCGCTTCGGCTGGTGAATCTGGTTCCGCTGCAGCTGGTGACTCCGGTTCCGCTGCGTTTGGTGACTCTGGTTCCGCTGCGGCTTGTGACCCTGGTTCCGCTTCGGCTGGTGACTCCAGTTCCGCTACGGCTGGTGACTGCGGCTCCGCTTCGGCTGGTGACTCCGGTTCTGCATCGGTTGGTGATTCTGGTTCTGCATCGGTTGGTGACTCTGGTTCTGCTGCGGCTGGTGACTCTGGTTCTGTTGCAGCTGGTGACTCCGTTTCCGCTGTGACTGGTGATTCCGGCTCCGCTTCGGCTGGTGACTCCGATTCTGCATCGGTTGGTGACTCTGGTTCTGCTGTGGCTAGTGACTCTAATTCCCCTAGGGCCGACTCAGCCTAGCCTGGGTTGTGGTCGTCCTCTCTAAAGCGACGACGGATTTTACAACATAAATACACACAAGTACAACAAACAATAAACACTAACAGTACCGTTCCTATGATAAATGACCCAGAGGTAAAACGTGGGACGTCGCTCTCGGAGGCCTTCTTCAGCGCCTCCGTCACCCTCTTCATCTCAATTTTGATTTTTCTAGCAAGTAAAATGTCGCCCAAAAGAGGCACGTGGTCGCATAAACCTGGTTTGGGCTTTTATAGGGTTGGGAGCTCACCTATCCCAGGGCTAATAAGTTTTAGTCCCCTTAAAATTCTGTAGTAGAGGCTCACTCTTTATTTTTATTGTTGAATTTTAATTTCGTCTAGCCGTTCTTTCAAATTTTTAAATTCATTTTCAACTGTAGACCTGTATTGGTAAACTACCATGTAGGTAGTGAGAGCTACAATTGCCACCAGTATAATTTTGCTATTAATTTTGGCCATTCCGTTAATCAGACCTATTTGTCTTTCTCTGGGTCACGCTACACATAACCCCAAATGGTGTTAACTTAGACAAGAATCTAGTTAGCTCAGATACAGTCTACCAGTAATATGAACTAGTAATTTAAGCGCTGTAGGGAACATATGGTACTGGTGTTGAAGTAAACATATAGTACTGGTGTTGTAGTGAACATATGGTACTGGTGTTGTAGTAAACATATGGTACTGGTGTTGTAGTAAACATATGGTACTGGTGTTGTAGTAAACATATGGTACTGGTGTTGTAGTAAACATATGGTACTGATGTTGTAGTGAATATATGGTACTGGTGTTGTAGTAAACATATGGTCCTGGTGTTGTAGTGAACATATGGTACTGGTGTTGTAGTAAACATATGGTACTGGTGTTGTAGTAAACATATGGTACTCGTATTGTAGTGAACATATGGTACTGGTGTTGTAGTAAACATATAGTACTGGTGTTGTAGTGAACATATGGTACTCGTGTTGTAGTAAACATATGGTACTGGTGTTGTAGTAAACATATGGTACTCGTATTGTAGTGAACATATGGTACTGGTGTTGTAGTAAGCATATGGTACTCGTGTTGTAGTAAACATAGAGTACTGGTGTTGCAGTAAACATATGGTACTGTTGTTGTAGTAAACATATGGTACTCGTGTTGTAGTAAACATATGGTACTGGTGTTGTAGTAAACATATGGTACTGGTGTTGCAGTAAACATATGGTACTGTTGCTGTAGGGAACATATGGTACTGGTGTTAGAACATGGCGGTACTGGTGTTGTAGTAAACATATGGTACTGGTGTTGCAGTAAACATATGGTACTGTTGCTGTAGGGAACATATGGTACTGGTGTTGTAGTGAACATATGGTACTGGTGTTGTAGTAAACATATGGTACTGGTGTTGTAGTAATCATATGGTACTGGTGTTGTAGTAATCATATGGTACTGGTGATGTAATTAAACATATGGTACTGGTGTTGTAGTGTACATATGGTACTGGTGTTGTAGTAAACATATGGTACTGGTGTTGTAGTAAACATATGGTACTGGTGTTGTAGTGAGCATATGGTACTGGTGTTGTAGTGAGCATATGGTACTGGTGTTGTAGTAAACATATGGGACTGATGTTGTAGTGAACATATGGTACTGGTGTTGTACTAAACATATGGTACTGGTGTTGTAGTAAACATATGGTACCTAGTGTTGTAGCAAACATATGGTACTGGTGTTGTAGTAAACATTTGGTACTGGTGTTGTAGTGAACATATGGTACTGGTGTTGTAGTGAACATATGGTACTGGTGTTGTAGTAAACATATGGTACTGGTGTTGTGGTAAACGTTTGGTACTGGTGTTGCTGTAAACATATGGTTCTGGTTTTGTAGCAAACATATAGTACTGGTGTTGTCGTGAACATATGTTACTGGTGTTGTAGTAAGCATATGGTACTAGTGTTGTAGTAAACATATGGTCCTGGTGTTGTAGTGAGCATATGGTACTGGTGTTGTAGTGAGCATATGGTACTGGTGTTGTAGTAAACATGTTGTACTGGTGTTGTAGTGAGCATATGGTACTCGTGTTGTAGTAAACATATGGTACTGGTGTTGTAGTAAACATA